GGCCTGGCATCATGACAAAATTCACTATCCATGTCCATTTAGCATGTACACACTCACATCTGTGTATGTGCCTTATACAGGTCTTGGTTGAAGAACTAGTTTTCCTGATGAAGACTAGTTCATCAGGGGGTCTGTTGCTAGCCTGGAATTCTCTCTCTAGCCTTGATGGCCTTGAACTCCTGATCCTCCTGCCTCCGCTTCCTGGGTGCTGGGAAAATAGGTATGAGTTACCACATCCAGCTGGTTCAGGGCTAGGGATTGAACCCAAGGCCTCGTGCATGCTAAGTAGGGAAACATTCCCTCAACTGAACCACATTGCCAGCTGCAGGCTGAGTTTTGATTATGGACAGAAACACCTAACACACACCAATTTATGTTTCAAGTACTTTCCTAAGCAAGATAATTCTCAATTATTTTATCCTCAAAACATATTGAGAACAGTATCACTAGAAATGATTGACAAAAGAAGAAACTGAAGCAGGGAGCAACTGAAGACAGTGGCCTGCCCCATTCACGGTGCTGATAAACAGTGAGACTGGGCTAGAGACTCCTGCTTCCTACTTAGTCCCCACCACTGGGCTTTACTGCCTGTACCCTGTGGTGATGGCCGAGAACCAGCTTTTCTATCACTTTTCTATCATTCTGACCGTGCAGAGTCTGGCAAGATGCCCCGAGTGTGTGGCTGCAGCCGGGGTGATTGTCTTTGAGCAACAGCAGCCAGAGCATGAGCACGTCTGAAGGGTTGCTCAGAGCCTATGAAACTGGAAGTTTCTCAGAAGGCCAGAAGTGTGGTCAAGCACCCAGTTTCCAGGCTTCTTATTCACCAGACACAGCATTCACCTTCATCTTACTGAAACGAACCTACAGAAGGCAATTTTGTCTCTAAGTCCGCTGGTGTGCAATTCAGAGAGGCAGTTTCCTTGCACACGTTGTAACGTGCAAGTGACAGGCAGCATGGAGTCAGTGAATGAGGAAGCTCCACAGCAAAGCCCACACCTGTAGGCTTCCCTTACTGCACCCCAGGCTGGAGCTCCAGCTGAAGAACTATTCCTGCTACATCACCCAGTGCTTCTCCCCCAGGACTTAGATGAGGGAACAGACCCTCAGTAATGTGAACTGACCCTCTCATTAATGTGAACTAACCCCCTCGGTAAGACCAGAGTACAGAATGCACTAGAATCCAGGCCTGAGTTGCAACCATGGCTCTTTCCAGTAAACCATCCAGGGCAAGACTTCGCAGAAATGTTTAGATAAGCTTTGCGCCTTCTTGCTCTGAGCCGCATCGCAGAGTGGATGTGTCATTTCTTATTCTTAGTAAAATGATTTTTGCTAGAACACATTTCACAATTGAAGATTTCACATCCTTGCAACCCTGCTGGCCATGTCCCAGTTGTCAGCTGCCACAAGCCTTGCTCCATCGGCAATGTTTTGCAATGGATGCTGTGAGCTGCCTTCAAAGTCCTGACCATTTTTCATGTAGCCCCTGCTTCCCGCTGTCTCTTCCACCCACACCTTCACTCACATCTCTTGTTTAATCTGAATGAGCAGATGTGACACTTACATGCATACTCTGTGCAGTGGCTGAGCTTGAAGACTTGCTTCTGTTTTTTGCATTATGGAACTTGCAACACTTTCCTCTCCTTTGCAGAATGGTCCCTTTCTGCTCTTTTCCTGAGTCATTTGGAAAGGCTTTGAAATGCATTCAAACCCTCAGCTGCTTTTGTCTGGGGGAAACCTTGTAGCCAGTGTAGAGATCTTTCTTACTTAGCTTGAGTAAGAGTTATTTAACATCTTAGCTTCCCATTGTTTAAAGCTATTCCTTCCATAGGGACTGCTATTTGACCCTTTTCTATTACTCAGTTTCACACACATACAAACACCACCACCACCACCACCACCACCCACCATCACCACCAATCACCAGTTTTTGAAGGATTAGGCCAGGCATGTTCACAAACGTCCTGTTGCTAGAATCATGTGGCAGAATCTGAGGGCAGGAGAGGGAGCTGCTGGGAGGCAGAGGCTGGGGGACAGCAGGAATTTCTGAAATTCATATCAGGGCTGTGGTGCAGAGAGGCATGAAGTCAATGCTTGGTCAGATAAAGGAATCCAAAGGTGAATACCAAAATACCATCCCAGACCAAGTGCCGATGGGCACCATACCGGCACATGTTATAAAGCTTCACTTGAAAACAAAACAACAGAATGATAACTTACAGGTCCCTAGGAACTGTCTGAACTTCTGATCACAAAGATTAATTAAAAGGTATGAGTCATGGGGCTGGAGAGATGGCTCAGCAGTTAAGAGCACTGACTGCTCTTGCAGAGGACCTGGGGTTAGATTCCCAACACCCACACGGCGGCTACGAACCGTGCTTAATTCCAGTTCCAGGGAAATCTGAAGCCCTCTCTAACCTCCTTGGTATTGCATGACATGGGTACACTCACATATATGCAGGCAATACACTCATACACATAAAATAAAAATAATAAACAAAATATTAAAAAAATATATATGAGCCAAGCACAGTGACTCATGCCTTTAATCCTATCACTCAGGAGACAAAGACAGGTAGATCTCTGTGAGATCAAGGCCAGCCTGGTTTACATAGAGTGTTCCAAGCCAGCTGGGGCCACAGAGACCTGTCTCAAAAAACGCATATAATGAGATAATCAATAAACAGTACAGTGATAGGAGAGTAGTCCTATAATTGAGTCCTCACACTGGCTACAGTCACCAGACATCAAAACTTTTCTAAGAAATCCAGAAGCCTAGTATACAAAAACAGAGAGGCAGAGCTTCAGATCTGGTTTGTCATTAGTTGGCCTGTCAGTCAGTTCCATGACTGCCCTTTGCAGCAAGGCCACCTCTAGGATCTAGCTAGATAAACCCTAGACCTATTTATTTATCTATTTATTGAAAGAGACAGATACACACACACACACACACACACACACACACACACACACACACACACAGAGAAAGAGAGAGAGAATTGAGAGAATTCCATGTATTCCAGGCAGCCTGGAATTGGCTATGTAACTGAAAACGACCTTGAAATTCTGATCTTCCTGTATCTATCTCCTGAGTGCTGGAGTTATAGGCATGCACTACCATGCCTGGTTTATGTGGTGCTGGTAATAGAACCCAGGCCTTTGTGCAAACTAGGCAAGGATTCTACTGACTAAGCTGCATCTCAGCCCAACACTTTCATTTATTTGTTCTCTTTTCATTTCATTTATTTATTTAGTGTGTGTATGAATGGATGTGTACGCGTGGAGGTCAGAGGACAACTTTCAGAACTGAGTTCTCTCCTTCCACCATGTGGGTCCTGGGGACCAAACTCAGGTCTTCAGATTTGGTGGCAAGCGCCTTTAACTCACTGAGCCATCTCGCTGGCCTTATTTATTTATATCTATCATCTATCATCTATCTATCTATCTATCTATCTATCTATCTATCTATCTATCTCTATCTATCTATCTATCACCTATTATTTTGATGAATTGCTTGCCAGCATTGAAAAGCAGGGTATTTTA